TAAAAGTAAGGTTGTAAGGCAGTTAAGGATGAGATATTGCCCGTTGTTGTGTACAGATAAATGTGAAAACTAGATAGTGAAGAAAGCTGACAGAGAAAAAGTAGATTCTTTGGAAATGTGGAGGGAAGCTTTTTGGATACCAGGGCCTGCTAGAAAGATTAATAGGTGCTGTGGACTGCTTAGTGGAACAGATCCAAGCTTCACTCTTACAGATGAGGGATGCAAGATGTGTCTCCTATGCCACTCTATATCTAGAAGTGGGTCAACACTTGATAAAGACAAAGGTGTGGTTGAGATCAAAGTTTTGCTAAGAATCTTCTATAGTTCAGACCAGGACAGTCTGCTTTATCAACTTCTAGAGGACATGACTGCCCCATAGGATAATCCAGTTCGGTTAAGAAAACTAGATTGATGGGCATTGTGATAGAATCTTTGGGTTTGATGTCCCAACTGGAAGTATATTGAGTGATAAGATGCAGGCTATTGGACATACAAGCACAGGAACTGCAGAATGCTGCGAATAAGACCTGTTTGCTGATGAGTCTGCAGAGTCCCATCAAAGCTGGTCAACCAGCACGGTAATCGTACCTGCTAAATGCATGACCTTTACCCTTGCTAGACGCAACGCCATTCCATCGGCAGTGGTGTATGGGAGATTCAGTGGGATTCCAAACAGAGAGGGGTGCTGCTTCTGCAAGCTGGGTGGAGTGGAGTCACTCTCCCCCATGATTTTGTCATGTCCAGTCTATACAGATCTCCACTGGAAATATTTAGACCCATTTTTTAAAGAAACAATTAAAAACACTCATGTATAAGCAGGCCTTCCCAACAGTTAATCCCTGACGATCCTTTCTTTCTATACTCTTATGATCTGTATCTTCGTTTACTTGCAATGTTTTAAATATTTATTGTTGGCTGATTGTAAGCCGCCTAGAGTGGTCGAACCTGACCAGATAGGCGGGATAGAAATGACATAAATAAATAAATAAAATAAAATTTTGTTAAAGAAGAGAGGTTCTTCAGATTGTGACACAGTGAGATATGTTCTGCCAAAAGGAGAGTCCGTTACAGTGGAGAATATGGCAAACGTTTTTGAACCAAATAGTGAGGAGCCACAGACTGAAACATAATAAATTTGCAGATCCAGTTAATCAATAGTTTGTTTGTTGTGGGAAAGCCTTCGCGAATAGTTCGTTTGTTATCTTGTGTATGTAATTTATTTGTGTGTGTGTGTGTGTGTGTATTCTGCCAAAAGGAGAGTCTGTTACAGTGGAGAATATGGCAAACATTTTTGAACCAAATAGTGAAGAGCCACAGACTGAAACATAACAAATTTGCAGATCCAGTTAATTAATTGTTTGTTGTGGGAAAGCCTTCGCGTATAGTTTGTTTGTTATCTTGTATATATAATTAATGTGTGTGTGCGTGCGCGTGTGTGTGTGTGCGCGCGTGTGTGCGTGCGCACATGTGTGTGTGTGCGTGTGTGCGTGTGCATGTGTGTGTGCCAGTAAAGGCTCTGACTGACTAATAGGTGGATGCTACAACAAATCAAGACTCAACTTCTCCCAATGTGAAAATGACTAAAATAAGGTTATTATATGTCAGGAATATTATGAGGAAACAAGACTCACTAGGAAAGGCAATTATATTGGGAAAGATAGAAGGCAGCAGAATGAGAAGATGACCTAGCATGATGTAGATTGGTTCAGTAAAGAAAGCCATGGCCTTTATGCTGCAAAACCTGGCAGGGCTGTTACTGATAAAATCATCTGGACATGATTTGATGGCATAGAAAGATATCTAACTGAAAGTAGAAGTGGGTGAAGATTCTACCATAGGTAGTTACGAAAGATGAATTTATAATGAAGCATGCACAGAAACATACCAGAAAAACCTTTGATGTTCAGGTGAGGTCATATTCGAAACTGAAAGACATTTAATGTCCAGAAAAGGGCCAGCTGTGAGGATGCTTTACTTATTCATGCATTCCCTCTTGCAGTTTAGGTATCTGACCACATGGGGGCAGTTGCTGTAGAGTTGAAGCCTTCTTATCTACCGTAGTTTACATCTGAGGGGATCAGGGACGTTTTGTCTCTGTGCCTAACCTGTGCGTAATTGAGCAGATTTAAATCCCTCTTCTTCCATGTGCACATGTACACACAGAGAGAACATATTGCCTTGTGCAGAGAACACTCACTATCCATGTGGATATTTCAGTGTAGTATCTTGATTTTAAAAAGAGGATTTGGTGCAGATAGTTCTTTTCTGAAACCACAGGGGGGTTGGGGGGATGTTCAGATATTTTGGTTACATGTGACATTTCATGGGCTGAACATGCAAGGGTTCTGCTTGTGACGTGTGTATGAAATTGAGAGATTGATGACGTGGCTGACGCTTTGTCTTCTGCATAAAGATAGCTCCATTTTGCAAAGATCAGATCCTACAGGAAGAATACCAATAAATAGAAGGGATTTCTTCCCCCGTATTCCCAACACCTCCTCTGTACATTCTGTGCAGCGTTCAGGCTGAGTAGGCACGATGGAGGAAGAATGGCCATGTGTGGTATGGATGTAGGAGTGACTGAGAGACGGAATTTTGAAAAGAAAAAAAGAGAAGACACATAGGAAGCTGCCTGATTAGCAGAGGATGCTGAGGGTAACAAGCCTTGGTCTAAAAAGAGTGGGAGAGATGATCCCATCCATGCCATCCGAGGTGGCATCTGAAACCAACACCTCTGACTGTAGCCGCCGTTTCGAAACTTGCCTTTAACAAAGGAAGCTGGCTGCATAGCTCAGTGGTTTATGTATATGCCTGGAGTCAGAGGTGAGGAGTTCAATTCTCCACTGTGCCTCCTGGGAGAAGAGCCAGCCTGTGTAGCCTTGGGCAAGCTGCATAGTCCTAGGGCAGCCTCAGAAGAAGGGAACAGTAAACCACTTCTGTGTATTCTCTACCTGGAAAACCCTGGAAAGGATCACTATGCACCAGAATTGACTTGAGGGCATGCAGTTATTATTTAACAAAGGAACTCAGCATGCACATCTAGCTATGACTTTTGGAACGTTTATATATCTTCTGCATCGCCCACAGCTCTGTGATTCCCAGCCTGATGAAAACTCATACATAATTGAAAACTAGTTTATACTTTTAGTGATCTGATAACGAAGCCTCCGGGAAGCCTGGAGCTTCCACTCCGTGAGGCAGTGGAAGACAAGAGGGCCTGGCGTGATCTGGTCCATGGGGTAACAGAGAGCAGGACACAACAACTAAACAACAACAACAAACTAAGCCTTGCCTTCAGATTGCCCAACATTGAGTTAGACCAATGGGCCATCTAGCTCAACATTGTTGTAATGCTCGGATGAGCACTGTGCAGCCCATGCATGTGCAACATGTCTTCCTCAAGTGCCAAATACACTACAGCACCCCAAACAGTTCAAAATTTTTCATTCCTTGAAACATTTTGGGCTGAAATAGGCTCTTTTTGTCCCCTAGGTGTATGGAAATTGACCCTAAGACTCCCCCCTCCCCAAAGCAAGTGCTCTGCCACTCAGCTGTGTCGCATTTCCCTTGGGAGAAGATAGAGAGGGAATTAACTTACCTGTTGCATACAAAAGTAAAGGATCCTAATCGGAAAAGAATGGTGTGGGAGTGCCTTATTGTTGGAACTGCATCTCCTATCCAGTGTTTTTTTAAAAAATAAGTATAAAACCATTATGTGCTGAACGTGGCCTAAATATTGCATGCACAGAAATGAGCTATGTGATCTGGACAGATAACTCACATGTGTATGTTGTTTAAATAGTGGCAGCAATTTATATGTTGTTTTATAGAGTTGCATGCAAGAGACAGATCTGTGCTTCAAAGCCTTTGCAGTCTTTGTTTATTTTCTGTTCTTTGATTCCCTCTTATATACTTTAGCCTGGGGTAGACTTCAGGTTTGCAAGGTACACTCCTGGGTTTTTCCTTAGAATCCTGAGACATATCAACAGGTGTAAAATACTTGCTCAGGTGCATGCTGAAGAATTATGGCAAAGGGTGCCTCTGTTCATATGTTGATTCCAAGAGTTTGAGCTCAGTAACAGAACTACCTTGGCAGGTCTGTTTCATAGGACAAGAAGCTACTCTTGGCTTTCTCCTGCCTATTATTATTTTAATTGTCACCAGCTGGGAAATAAGTGTGAGTCAGAAACCCTTGGTGATCTGCAGCACATCAGTCAGAGATCTACTGGCAGAACTAAATTGTCTTCTGCCCATGCCTCATTTCTTGCTTATAGTTTCAGGAATGGTGGGGAAATAGTGTGAGTCACTTCAGAATTTGCCTAGTACAGTCGTGCCTCACTTAACAATTACCTCATTAAACAACGAATCTGCTTTACGGTGGTTTTTTGTGATTGCTATTGCGACCGCAAAACGATGGTTCAATGGGAAAAATTTGCTTGACGACGATCGGTTCCCTGCTTCGGGAGCCGCTTCTTCGCATTACGATAGTTTCCAAACAGCTGATCGGCGGCTCTCATAATGGCCACCCGCTATGCAAAATGGCTCCCCACTGCGTTTAGGACGGATTCCTCGCTTAAGAGGCATCGGAAAATGGCCGCCCTATGGAGGATCTTCACTGCACGATGAGGTATTTCGCCCATTGGAACGCATTGAACGGTTTTCAGTGCATTTCAATGGTTTTTTTCATTTCACTTGATGACGATTTCGCTTAACAACGATTTGAATGGAACGGATTATCGTCGTCAAGTGAGGCACCACTGTACATGTGTTTCTGTATGTATGGAGGAAGGGGCCAGAATGTGATGCATTAATCAGGTTTTCTGAGCCTAATGCCCTTCAGATGTGTCGGACTTCCACCGTCCCAGCTGGCTGTGGGATGGTAGGAGTTGAAGGCTAGCACCTCTGGAGGGTATCAGACTCAGAAGGCTGCATTAAATGGCAGCTGATCCCATGGTGTTTTTCAGCTTGGCTTTAAAAGGGAATTCTTTGTGTCTTTGCAGGCTTGGCACTGGAACGGTCCCCTAATTCAATAGCTTCTCGGGCCAGGCTCTCGGAAAGAGAGGAAGAAGTCATGGCTTGTTTTGAAAAGGCTTGTGTGATTGCCCAAGTGTTCCTGCAAGAACTGGAGAAGGTAAACAGAAGCCTCATTAAAGTGCCCATTTGACTTTCCTGAAGGTCAGGAGACAGAAAATCTGCAAGGTGCCTGCCACTCACGGCTAATGGCTCTGTTAGTTCTTTGAATATTATTTCCCTTTTCTCTTTACCCAGGCTTTTTAAATAACTCGTCAGTGGGGCCCAAGTTGTGTAGGCCTGTAGAATATTACTAGAAGTACAGGAAAGTTTCCAGATAAATGTAGACACCTTGCATTGGCTGCCACTGTGAAAACAGCACAAAAATGGTCAAGACTGCCATAAAGAAACGGCAAGAATAATTCAGAGCAATTTCTCCCTTTTCTCTGCTTCATTCCATTTCTCAAATGTTATCCATTTTGTCTGTGCTTTGGAGAGAAAAACTGTGACAATTTTGAACAAATGGTGGTCCCTGTTCTTCTGTAATTATGATATATATTTTCCCCTTCCACCTGCATTAACAGAGCTTCAACAATGGGCATGCAAGAGGCATAAAAGGAGGGCATGCATCTGCTTCAGATTTTGAACTGCCTTACTTCCTGGAAGCTGCCCTGCAGAGTGCCTATGTGACTCACTTGAAAAGAGGGTAGGTAAAGAGAACAGCCCTGCCATCCCAGATGACTTGATGTTGAATGTGGTTTTGTGTAGGCATCCTTCAGTCTCGAGAGACTATGGTAACATGCTCTGTATGGAGGTCTTGGAACAGCGTCTAGGGTGGCTGAGAAGGCCGATTCGAGAGTGACAATCTCTTCCACATTGAAGACAAATGCAATCTGTCCCCTGTCCAGCTCCCTTGTTTTGCTTCTTTCGGGACTTCCTCTTTGCCTCAGCCTGCTGTACAAGTGTCTCTTCAAATTGGGAGAGGCCATGATACACCGCCTTCCTCCAGGCTGAAGGGTCAGACGTCAAGGTTTCCCATCTGTTGAGGTCCATTCCTAAGGCCATCAGATCTTGCTTGCAGATGTCCTTGTATCGCAGCTGTGGTCTCCCTCTGGGGCGGTTTCCCTGCACTAATTCTCCATACAGGAGATCTTTTGGAATCCGACCATCAGCTATTCTCACGACATGCCCAAGCCAACGTAGACGGTTTTGTGTAATGCTGGTTGAAATCTTGTGGTGCAGTTATACAAGTGGTGTAATTTTTGGAAGTGAATTGCCATAAGTTAAGAAATTTCCATACACATCATCTATTGCATGCTTTGTCACACAACTCAGTTTGCAACAGGTAAAATCTACAGAGATTTCTTAACTTAGGGCAATTCATATATGTTACCCTGTTTACAGAATCGCACAACAGAATTTCAGCCTCTCTAAGTTGTTCAGTGCTCAGAAATACTACCTTTTTTGGACTAACTCCCCAGTATCTCCCAGTCAGTGGCGTCTCCCAGTCAGTTGAGGTCCAAAAAGTAACGTTTCCAAGTGTTGATATTATCCTGTGCTACCTTGGCTTTACTTGGAAGGAAATGCAGGATGTGAGACCAGCGGATAAATAAATGGAATAAAAATGCATCACAGGCTTACGGTACTCTGCTACAGTGTTAATGCTGTTTGATGAAACACAAGGGATGTTAAAGTGACACAAGCACCCCAGACATATGTTTAGTTAATGCTGGGGAAGGGGGTAAGTACCATAGCAGAAGTGGTGTCCTGATATGTGCCGCTAGGTCAGGGGTGGGCAATTAATTTCTATTGGAGGGCCACATGAAAAATCTGAACTGTGTTTGGGGGCCAAACCTACTTTACTTAAAAATGAAATGAAACAGTGATGTTATGATTGTTTTTATTTTAAACTTGTTAATCTTCACAGATACTAAAGAGTTTTTTGCAGTATGTTAAAGATAAGCAACTGATCAACTTTAAACAAAAAGCTATAAATGGTTTTGATGTTCAAAACTGTCTGCGGGCTGGACAGGAGCGGCTCGCGGGCCGTATGTGGCCCTCGGGCCGCACTTTGCCCAGGTCTGCGCTAGGTGCATCCAGAAGGAGATGTACTTGGGAACCCAGGTTAAAGGATTTATTTAAACACCTCCATAGTGTGTGCCAATCCTCTGTTCAGTGCAACTAATCTGCCAGCTAATTGTGCATAAGATTTCAGACTTGTTCTCCACTTAATCACACAGAAGTGTAGGTTAATCATTAATCCAAATGTCAGTTTGTCATTTTGAATGATAAGAAGCCTCAATACAGTTTCTCTTCTCTGTTGCATGGACACAGCTTTTCCCAACATAATGCCAGTGACCATAGACAGGTTGGAGTATAGCTTCCATCACTTCATAAACATGCAAAGTGAGGTAATAGGAGTCATAATCACCACATTTGGATGTCACTGGATTGGGGATGGCTGTTAATATAAATATTCTGGTTTCAAAAAAGTGAATTTCTGTTGAACCAGTCAGTGTAGGACAGTGGTTGCCAACTTTGGTGCTCTTGGTCTGCAACTCCCAGAAATTCTGGGCAGTACAGCTAATGGTGAATGCTTCTGGCAATTGCAGTCCACGAACCCCTGGGTTACCCAAGATTGGAAACCAATGGTGTATGAGAAGATAGATTGAGCTGAACTTGTTTCTTTATCTGCCACAAGGGGGGGTGTTTCTACTCATAAAACATGTACCTAAAAGTTTTGAAATTGAGGAGTGGCCCTTAATCATGCTCATTATAAGAGCACTGTTTTCCAGGAGCTGAACACCTTCAAGAAATACCTCTAGCTTGAAAGTATAAAGAATTCTTCCAAGTAGACAGATTGCAGGCTGCTAATGAAGGACAGATTCTTGCAGGCTGTGGTGTAATTTCCAAGAGAACCATGGCATGTAAACAAAGTGCTTCCACACATCTGTTTCCCTGCATATAGTCACTTTAGACAGGCTAGTTTGCACAGAATGTAAATCTACGTGGGAGGGAGGGAATACACTGTCTAAGCTGGCTGGAGGATTCTGGGGGTTCTAGTCCAGAATCAGAGCCCTTCCAAGCTTTGGTTAAAAGGGATTGTAAAGGTAGCCCTAACTATGTAGCAAGTAAATGGTAGCTGCCACCAGAAGGTTTTGTGTGAGCCCACACCTGTTTCCACTGGGTTTCTTCAAATCTCCACAGATATGCAGCCAATCCCACTTCTGACACCATATGTTACAAACAGCTATGATGTCACCTGTCCTTCAAGGTTTAGGCTGGAGTGTTAACATCCAATGGTGGTCGGAAGGCGGCACATCAGGGGGAAGAGCTGGGATATATAGGGGTGTGAATGTGTGTGAGGGGCAGATCAGGATCTGTGAGTGTTGAGATGAGATAGTGATCAGATTGTGTGGAGATATGAGTCTGTGTGAGCTAGAGCCTTTCTTTATGTGATTACCTGATTTATTTGTTATACCAATCTTAATGTACCAATCAATAAACTTTAGTTATTTTGTTTGAAATCCATTCGTTTCTCCAAATCTCCACAGATATGCAGCCAATCTTGGCTAAGTACCGGAAGCCTGAGTCAACCGCTGGCTTGGGGTTGCTGACCCTGACCTGGAACCAGTAAATTTAATCCACTCTTTTCCAGTCATGCAAGGAAGACCAAAACTCAGTGTAACTATATGGTAGCAATCCAAATGACTAAGCTCTGGACATATTATGACCACACTGTTTGGGGAGCTTGACACTTCAAAAAGACACACCAACATGTAGAATTTTATTTTTATTAAGAATATAAAAAGTAAAAAAAATTCCAAAAAAAGAGAAAATCCTTTTAGATTAGTAAGCCAGTTTCCATAAGTGGGGAAAGGCTGAATTATAGTAATTAAGGATAAAGAACAGATAAAGAACACCCACACATAAAATAAGAAATCTAGCTAACCTATTGTCCTAATTTAGAGGACCTATGAATAACGTAGATAAATTTCTGAGCTCATGCAGAACATAATACGTACTTGCCAGCATTTAAAAAGTACTGAAAGCTGAAGTCCCCCTTTGCTCTGGGTTCTAACAGTTTTTGCACTTATTTATCCCTTACTCAGACAATCTGTTGGGCCTTCCACTAGATTCTTCCACAAGACAGTTCTACACGTAGCTATCTTGACTCTCTCTGGAATGCAGCTGTGAAGTATAACCAGTTTACAGCCTCCACTTCAGACAGTTCAGAGTGACCGTAGATTAATTCCCTATATGTCTTAATAACCAGATGGTGCTATACTGGGAACTGCCAGCATTCTGGGTTAGCCAGCAACGGCCTACGTCCTACCAGGCATTCAGGCGCCTTCAGGATGAATTGGGTTGGCTTTTAGCAATAACTCACACCTAGTTGTTGTCAGGAACTTTAGAACTTTTTCACAGGTATCATGAAAGACATTTAATCCAAATCTCTGCATAGCGCAGGGTCTGCAAATATATCCATAAATCCAGCAGGGAGCATCTGTTTGTAGAAGGGCTTTCATCAGCGGAAGGGGCAATCCCCTTCCCCGTTTCATCCTCCTCTCATGCACATCCCTAAAGGCCCACTGATTATCGGGGATGGGAGGAGGAAACATGTTCCATCAAGATGGCTCTGGAATACCAGTACAATGTTGGGTTTAGACAATAGGATGTGGTGGCTTCTAGTTGATCATTTAGGAAGGTTAAAAAAAAAACCTTAAATTCAGTGACTACTTGGTATTTTCAGACCACATAGGAATTCCAAAGTATTGAGAGTTAACAGAAGAATTAGGGTCAGGAGTCTTGTATGTCATGAATCCACTGAGAATCTAGTATCTTCCCTGCACACAACCACAACATGTCACTTTAGTTTCTGAGCATTGTTGCTCCCCAAAAAACAGCCTGGAAGCTTCCCCCCCCCAATTGTTTGAGATTAAAAAATACCACAGCAGGAAAGCGCAGCTGATTTGTTAGCACAGTTTTTGTCACAGCTGAGTGTTTTATTTGCCTTTTTATTTGCCTTTAAAAAGTCGTGTACATGGCACATGGGTGAATGACAATGTTGTAAAATGCTTATCTTATAGGTATGGTTCTGTACAAATTCTGCAAGATGGCATGTGGAGTACCAAAAGGTCCCACCTGCCTTGAATGAGGTTCACTGTCACTAGTGAAGGAGAACTTGCCGTCTCCCCAGGCAAACAACTCTTACTTGTTAAGATGTTTCCCTTAATCTTTCACTGAAATCTGCACATTTGTATGTACCTTGTAACATAAGCAGCAGTCCGTGAAAGCAGATGCTTTCCCTTTGTTAACAAAACTGGTATGCTGAACACCTTGAATCAGAGAAAAAGAAGTTAAGAATGTTGCACAACCCATAATATTACTGGGTGTTTTGTTGTTGTTGTTGCATTTATGAATAGACTTCCTCCAAGCAGATTTAAGTGGAATCCATGGTGCCCTTCCAACATATAATTTTTTTATACCCACCACAACTTCGAGAAGTAGATTAGGTTTGGAGTTGTGATTGTCCCAAGGTCACCCTGTGGTGTTTAATGTTTGAGAGGAGATTGGAACCCAGATCTCTCGAATCTTAGGTTACCACTTTAACCATTAGACTAGGACTGGCTCTCATATGCTAAGTACCAAAAGAGATGATGCAGTCATTTGATAAAGATTTATAAGGGAATCCATAAAAAGCTTCCAGATGTCCCTTGTACTCATCAGAAATCTTCTCATAGGCCACCATCTGGGATAAGACACTTTATAAGCTATCCTGTGAAAGTTTCATTGGCTTGTTTTATTACCATTAGTCCAATCTGAACATAAATGGATATTTTTTAATGTCACAGATTTCCTCCCTCCCTCCCCCACTTCCATAGTACTAATTCAAAATCAAACCCATCTTGGTTAGCATATCTTGCCTTTCCTTTTCTCTTAGCAACATCGTTAAAGGAATAAGAAACCTTCGAGAACTGTTACGGACTATGGAAACGAAGGCAACTCAGAGCTTCCGAACGGTAAGGACAGTTTGGTAGAAGACATGTAGTCCTTATTTTGGCAGATGGGAAGGAAACAGGTTGCTGGAGATATTTGTACATATTTTGCTTTCTTGATACTTTCCTTGTGGAGGAGTGGAGCATAGACCTGCAGTTCTTCATTAACTTGCTCATTAAGAGGTAGAGCTTGTAAAAACATCCTTATAGTATTTAGAATGAAAGACCTTTACATTTGTCTGTTTCCGACTGTAGGATTTCTTCTACAGCAATTGGGAAATCTAGGGGGCAAAATACCTTCTTTATAACTGGCATCTCTTAATGCAATGCAGCACTGAAGAGCATGTACCCCTAGAACTGAGAACTACTACTCTGATTATCCCTCACCATTGGTCAACCTAGCAGTGACTGGTGGAAACTGGAATCCCAACAGCATGGGCCTAATGTTGACTTGCTATAATACGAAAAGAGGACATTTCTGCTCATGTGTAGGCTCTAGACATAAGCCAGAATGCTGATTTTCAGGATTCTTGCTCATATGGAATGAAGAACCAAATGTGAGGGCAGGGAAACTGAGGGGCTAGGCAATCTCCTCTAATCATATTCACAATACCAGGTTGAATAAGACCTGAAAGAAGGAACAGTCATTTCTAAATTTGCTCCTCTGAACCTTGGAAACTTGGGATGGTACGTAGCCTTCCAACATAAACCAGTTGCTCACTCCTGTTTTATTATGTTCATGTCTGGATTACAAATTACTGTGATTACTCATAGATTTAGAAATACATTATACTTAAATAATAAATATGTGGTTGATGTGTCCAAATCAAAAGACCATTGTAGTCCATTGTAGCCTCAGTGCATCGTATCCCACTGGTTTATAATAGAAAATTGAATTATTCATCCTTTGAGGGTGCAGAAATATCTTTCTTTAAAAAAGTAATCTTGTTTTTTTTTCCTGTTCTTATTTAGACAGCAGCTAAACAGTTGGCGGAACTGCTCCTCCACTCCCTGAGCGAAGATTGCTACTGGAGTCCTTTATCTGACCCTCTTCCTGAGTTTATGAACAAAGATGATAATACTTATATTTGCACTACTCTGCGTCGGAAACTACAGTTGCATACAGGAGATAAGTATGTACTGCCTAATATCAGCTATTGCCTGTTCCTGTGAATCTTTCCAGTCTAGGCATTTGATGGACCGGTGTGATACCATGGAATGTCTAAAATGTGAAAGAACGTCTCACAGATTTTTGAGAACTTAGTGTAGATGGTATAGGGGACATTTCACTTCCAGATTTTGCATTGGGACACCACCTTTTTTAGTCAGCAAGCATCTATGCTATGGGACAAGTGGAAGATGAGCTTGACTGTAGGGAAAAACTCACACAGGACTCTGGGTTGTATATTACCAGTGAGAGTTGAAGTGGGAAAAATTGGAGATAAGTGTTAGTAAATTACATGGCTCATGTGGGGAAAGGTCAGATTGTTTTTCAGATGTTGATCTGGAAGAACAAATCTTTGGTTGCAAGTCTCTGGGCCCACATGATTTGCTTTTAAAAATAATAAAAATTCAGCCTGCAAATTCTTAATTTCATATCTTGAATATTTAGATCCAATAACCTGTCTTCCCTTTTATTCTTTGATAAGTTAATACCCCATATTTAAGAATATCAGCTTTCCCAGGGTGGCTTACAATGCCTGTTAAAACATGAACACAATAAAATGGAAAAAATATATTGTCATATTAAATAATATGAGAAAATTATATGTAGTCATAGATTGTCCAAAAGCTGCCTGGAATAAAAATATATTTTGGAGTCTCCTAAAAACCAGTAGAGAACTGAGTTCTCAAGTGGTGAAGCCACTGTTGACAGGGCGTTCTCCTTGACATTCTGCAGCCTACTTATTCTTATTGACTGAGCAGAGAGCAGGACCTTGGAAGCTGATAATAAGGCTTTGGCAGCTTGTTATGAATACAAGCTCTTTTTCAGATAAGTGAAGGTTGAGCCATTTCACATTTTAATGTCAAAAACCAGCACCTTCAATTGGGCTGAAAAACAAATAGACAGACAGTTTAGCTGTCACAGAAGAGGTGAAACCTGATGAGAATGCTTGGGATAGAAATTGCTTCATTAATAGAGCATGGGTGCCTAATCGTTTGCCCTCAATTCAAGACATAGCTGCATTTTCTCCTAAAACACTATGCATGGTTTTTAGTCATCCTGGTCTGAAGGAACTATTGTGTAACAGATGAATCATGCATGAGGCGTTTCAAGTTACTAGTCCTGTGGTTGTGATAACAAAAGCATTCTATGAGTCTATGTCGCTTATATGTAGATATGTGTAAATATACATATATATTCAAAGTGTGTCTGTCTTGCAGCATCTACAGCCCCCACGACAACGTTGAAGAAGCTCTCCTCCTTCTTCTGATCAGTGAATCCATGGTAAGCTGAACAAGAATAATTATAAAGAATAATAACAAAACTGGCAGTAATTAGAATTCTACCTGATATTTGCACTGACAGAACTTAAAGGCTTGTTTTCTGAGCTGTAGATGGCTCCAGGTTCTCGGTATCCTGCTTGTGTGGACAGAAATAAAGCAGCTATTTTTAATGCAAGTAAAACAGCTATTTTGTTTTTTTCTTTTCTTTCCCAGAAGCATTTCTTGATGACAAGGATACCATTAGGTAATTTTAGTCCATGGACTAAATGGTCTCGTGGGTGTCAGCTCTGTTTAGATGATAATGTAGACCGTATAATGTATAAAACACTTGCTTTAAAATGTAGCCAACCCCACTGTATTTTCAGGGCTTCCTGCTTACTGTAGTTTGCTGAGTGGGGCCCCCAGACTTCTCCTCTCTTGCCCTACTCTAATAATACCACTTCTTACGCATGATTGACACTCTGGGAAATCTTGTAGAAAACTTTGACTTAGTGTTACTTAGGGCACAGTTACAGTACTAAAATTTGCTTGCTTGTTTGCTTGTTTGCTTGCTTGCTTGCTTATTTATTTATTTATTTAGTTAGTTAGTTAGTTAGTTAGTTAGTTAGTTAGTTAGTTAGTTAGTTAGTTAGTTAGTTAATCATATTTCTTCCCATAGGAAATTCAAGGCAGCTCACAGTCAAAGCTATTCAATAATCATGATAAAAACACCATAAGATATAACATTAAAAACAATTAAACACAGAACAATATGAAAAACTGCTGTTAAAACCACTTTTAAAATATGTAAAAAAACTGTTTCAAAACCTTTAAAATCAATAGATGTAGTGTTCCTAAAAAAACACACAACCCTTACCACTTAAAAGCCTATCATGTTTGTTTATTGGTACAAACAGTGCTAAACATAAAGATAATTTGTTTCCCATTGTTCAGACATTATTTTAAAGCAATTCAGCATTTTCTAAGGGTGGAAGAGTTTACAGATAAGTCTTTGGGCAAGGGAGTGATATTTGTAATTCTGTCGACAATGACAACAGTTCTTGTAGTTTACACTGTATTTTTGAGCAATATATACTCAAGACAGGTTACGTAAAATTGATACAAAAAGGTGAGAAAAAAACATATATAAGGCAAATTAACATTCAAAAAAGCAAGCAAACAAAAACAACAAAGTCCAGAAAGCAGGCAAATATTCTGTAAAATGGCTGTAAAAGAAAAAAAAATCCCAGGGGTTCACTTTTAGAGCTACGGTAGTGTTGTGGATGGAGTGTTGGGTTAGAAATCAGGAAATCTTGGTTCACACATCTGCTTAACAATGGAAACTCACTGGGGGATGGGAGTGGTGTGGCATTGGTAAACCATTGTTTGAACATCTCATAGAGCTTGAAAACCCTGTTAGAGTCACCATATGTTTGAAGCACCTTGACAGCACTTGTAGTTAATGACCTCTTTCCCAATAGTTCACTTTGAGTCACATGAGAGTAACCTCCACTAGCATCCATGGCAGAGCTGGCAGAAGAAATGAGATATCTCAGGCAACTGAATGCCATGAAAGGAGAACTAACTGTTAACTGTTCAATTTATTGTCAATGTATTTTAGAGAGGGGCCGAGTGATTTGTGCAATTTTCTGCCTCAGGTGCTGAAATAACTTGATGGGTCTTGGGTACTGTGCATCTTGACTTGCCATATGTAGAGGGGACTCTATTTTCTATTCCTAATTATGTAGAAAGCTTTAATTTTTGTGAGCTTGTTGGGGGACAGATAGTGTATACATCTGTGGGCATGTGTTAATTTTTGGACAATTTGAAAGAACTCATATTTGACAGAACACCGCTCACATAGGTAAGGGCAAGACTAGCCATGACATATACAGCTAAGCTGGGGAAGCAGTGTAGGAGGAAAGAGTCGGCCCTTTTCCTCTCAGACCCTGGTCTTCAATCCATATCAATCCTCCTTCTGGTTGTTGTGGGTTTTTCGGGCTCTTTGGCCGTGTTCTGAAGGTTGCTCTTCCCAATGTTTCGCCAGTCTCTGTCCTCTGAAGTGTGTCCTCTGAAGATGCCGGCCACAGGGACTGGCAAAATGTTAGGAAGAACAACCTTCAGAACACGGCCAAAGAGCCCGAAAAACCCACAACAACCATTAGATCCCGGCCGTGAAAGCCTTCGCGAATACAAATCCTCCTTCTACTGGTGTGTTTAGCATCAGTGGTCAAAGTCTCATGAAAATCCAATTAGCATCTCCCACATCACCTTTTATCCTTTCCATTCAAGGTACCTATTGTTTCAGTTGACTTAATTTCTTTTGTAAAGTTGCCACTGTCTTATGAGGCTGAGCAGATTTTTTTTTTTGGAGTAACCATTCCAGTGATAGCATGATCTCTGTCTCTCACTCTCTCTCTCTCTCTCTCTTTCTTTTTTAAATGCATTTTTGAAAATGATAAGTACTTACAAGTCATCAGAGCATATTGTGGAAGAGGAGAGGACATAATGAAGCCCAGGAGATTATTCATGTTCCTCCACAGGACCTGGCCTATCACGAGGGACTGCCTGCTGTTTGCTGCTCCACCTCTTCTGCTAGCTTCAGAACTTTCCCCCAGAATCTTTTACAGTATGCGACAATCACATGCCAGGTTTACAAAGCTCTCTCTGTTATTTATGGCATTTGCATCCCATCTAAAAAAGCCAAGTCCTTTAGATTTAGGTCTTTCTTACCCACTGTAACATCTTCAATAACACCAGTGGGTAGGGGTAGGCTGAGAGAGTGATTGGCCTAGGTTAACCCAAGGAGCTTCACAACTACAGTGGTACCTCAGTTTACAAATTTAATGCGTTCTTTGGGATGTTTCATATTGCAAAAAATTCACAAACTGAAACACAGTTTTCCATAGGAACACATGCACTCCCAGGCTCAATGCATGCTGGGGAAACTTGCTTCATATTGTGAAAAAAGTTCGTAAACCAAGGCATTATTTTCAATGGATTTTTATTCATAAACCAAAAATTACATTAACTGAGGCGTTCGTAAACTGAGGTACTACTATAGTTAAGAGTTTGAACACTAACACTGCATTGTAGCCTCACCTGATGTAGAATTGATTCATTGAGAGTGGAAAGTTTTAGAGCTTTCTACTAATTGTAAGGTTCGATACTTTGGAACAGAGATTGGATGAATTGTAAAAGAATTCATATAATTATTTCTATTTATTCATTAATTCATTGCATTTCTATCTCACCTTTCCTATGATGAGTTGAAGGTAGTGCGTACGGAAATCTGCTTCCTTTGACCCTCATGACAGCCAGTGAAATAGGTTAAGCTGAGAGAGACTGGCTGGCTGTCCTCTAGTGAATTTCACAGCTTCAGTGGGGACTAGAACACAGTTGTGATCTTACAAGACCTAGGCTAACACTGTCATGTTTTTTCCCTTTTATGCCAGTTCCTTAGGCTTCTTCTTGATGTAACTAAACACTTGGTGCACAGAGAGTAGGAACTGTCCTTAAGGTCTTCTTTTATTCGCATACACCCTTCAGCAGTCTTCCTTCTGCAGTTTGCTCCACTGCTGTTTAATATGTGTGAGATCTTTCTTGGAGCTGGAAGGAACATTTTTATGCCAGTGCCCTCTCCCCTTTCTGTTTTATTTTGAAATGCTTTTGTTTCTGTTTTAGTAAATCCATTCTCTTTTTCTTTTAGTAGCTCAAAGTACAATTCATAAACCTGTCACTCAGCCTATTTTCCTGGCTGAGGGTTTTTTTTAAACACCTTAGTGGTAAAATAATGTGTTCGTTGCAATGTGCCATTTCCCTGGTATGCAAAATATGTCACAAGAGTAATTTGGACAGAGTTGGCTGCCTTCCCAGCTGTATTGGAAACAAGAGAGCCTGTAGCCATACCATATAAACATTGTGCCCAATGACTAACAAGCATTTTGAAATGATTTATTGAGTTAAGTAGCCAAATGGGATTTAACCTTGAGAAGTGAGGAAGAGGCAGTAGGGGATGGTGGCCAGAGAATACGTTCCAGGGCCTTTACATAAACAAAACTGTAATGTTTTTCATTTAGCTTTATTGACTCTTGAGTAGCAGGACTTGGACACTTTCGTCTTTGGAGTACAATTCCCAGCATTTCTGTACTAATGTTGGTAGTGGCTTGTGATGTGATCCAGTAGGACTTTTACTAGTTTCTTAAAAGTTTTTTTTTCTCTCACAACTGAGAAAAAGACTCCATTGGGCTTACAATGCCTGTGCTGGCTGGAATATTCTGGGAGTTGAAACCTAAGCAAGGAATTTTTCTAAGCTCTGTAACTTTGAATCATATATAGTCGGCCTAATGGTAGCACAGAGCTGCTGGCCTGTTATCAAAAGTCTTTATCAAGCAGTTAGTTCAGACAATAAGGGTGATCTGTTCCCTCTCAGGAGCCCAGGAAGAAAGAAAAAGAGAGGAAAATGGAGAGAGGGAGAATGAAAGAGAGAGAGAGAGTCAGGTAGGAGAAAGAATGAGAATATGGGTTGCTCAACCCACTGTCAGCATGTGTTTTCCTGACAGACCACCTTCAAAGGAATCTGGCCCTCAGTAGAAAAAAAAACATTTCTCACCCTTTCCTTAATACAAGAGAAATGCATCCAACAAAGGGCTACTGGCCAACTATGATATCTGATCAAAATAAACTGTTCATTATCAATAGGGGCGTACTGCACCTCGGATACCCTGTCACCCCTGTAGATAATACCAGTCGCACGTGTCCTGTCCCAACTTTGGGTGATCTGGGTAAGATTCTAGCCCGTGAGGTTTAGTGCAGTGGCCAGGAGAACTGGCCAGCCTTGTGAATGAGATGCTGGTCCATGAGAACACACCCAGCAGTCAGTAACATTAACAGGATAAGAAGCAAAAAAATGTTTTCAGAAGTGGCTTTTTCATGTACTGTGATCAATGGCACTTGTTTTTCATGTGGCACTCCATAAAGTAGAAGTTTTTTTTTTGCAGTGCATTGAGAAAGGCACAGGTTTATGGAAGGATGTGCATGATAATCCCCATTGTCAATTAAATCCGTTTCCACATTGTGCACCACACTATTAAAAAGTTTCTGCATCAGTAACTCTGCTGTGCCATTTACTTGTGAAAAATAGCTGCGCTGAAGAAACCCACACATTTCTGAAAGCTGGTAATCAGCCTCACATCAGAGTCAGCTATTTTGAGCATTGTCAGTGGGCCAGACAAGTAAATTTGAAAGGATGCCTTAGCATAGATATGTGCTATGCTAATATGCTGGGATAACACACCTCTAGTTATTTTGTTTTTATTTTTCTGTTTATTTATAATCCTGTTGCTCTTGTGGTGTTTTATTTTATCATACTGTAAACCACCTAGAATAATGCATTGTACTAATGAGGGCAGTTTACAGTACATACATGCATGCATGCATGCATACATATGTACGTACATAATATTCACTTGAAAAATATTCCCCGGCTAGTACATTACCACAAACTTTGAAGTGGTAAAACACATATGCAGAAAAATACACATAAATTGTATATGCATTTTTACAAGCCTAGCAAAAGAGAAGCATTGCCCTCTATATTTCAAAAAGAAGCCGTGGGACCATACATCAGAATGGAAAGCATTTAGCTCAGTGACAAGGGACCACTGGTGGGTTTTGTACCAACCTATGTTTTGGATGTTCAATCCCCTCATGTTGCCACAGTCATGTAGCAGATTATAGGAAAGTTATTTTTTTTTGACAATCAGGCCATGCCAGGGCTGGTGGGGACAGCTGATGGGAGCAGTGAAATGGATGATTGCATCACTCAAAGGTTTCAGTGGGGGAGGGTGGAGTAATGTTCCAATTTCTAACCTAAAGATATTTTTTCAATATGTGAGTTCCCAACAGGGCACATGAGGCCCATTCCTGTATTATGCTGAGCTTCTCCAACCTGTTGCTCTCTGATGCTTTGGGCTATGTTCTTAATCTCCAGGTAGCTATTGGACTTGTAGCCCAACATATCTGGGGGACACTAGGTTGGGGTGGTATGGGGATTGTGTGAAGGCGTTAAAAAAAGCAGATCAATTACACTGTTGAGAACCAGATTAAGAGTGAAAAGACTTTAATCAGCTTTAAATCAATTTTCTTAAGTTTGGATCTCTCTCTGCTGACTGCTGATAATGGGTTTTCAGGTTCAATTGACTATGAATGTTCTCTCTCTTACGCACACTCAGACACACATTAGTTTTGTTGTGAGTGCAGAATTATCACTGATTATACAGTGGTGCCCTGCTTGACAACGAAATCGCTTGATGATGAGTTTTTTGCGATCGCAGAACAATGTTCCTATGGGTTTTTTTGCTTTACGTTGGTTAGGTCCCTGCTTCGCGAACCGTTTGTTCAAAATGGGTTTTTTCGCTTTACGTTGATTAGGTCCCTGCTTCGCGAACCGTTTGTTCGTTAAACAATGATTTTTCCAGATCCGCAAAATGGCTTCCCTTCGCAAAATGGCTGTTTTCCGGACCCCTGCTTCGGAAGACAGCGATTTTAAACAGCTGATCAGCGGTTCTCTATGGGTGATCTTCCCTGGATGATGAGGTATTTCCCCATTGGAACGCATTAACCAGTTTTCAATGCATTCCAATGGTTTTTTCTGCTTGACGACGATTTCGCTTAACAGCGATTTTCCTGGAATGGATTATCGTCGTGAAGCGGGGCACTACTGTATAGCTATTGTCCTAATGTCTTTAGCTCCTGCTGTTCCTGTTCCAAAGAAGAAACGGCAAATAACTCGTACTTCCTCTCCTGCTGGGTCTGTTGCTTTTGTATGAAATCATGGAAGATTTCCACTTGTGATCCAGTGCATTTGAGATGTAGCATGGTGGTGTAATTATTAAATTGCTGGACTTTAGCTAGGGAAATCTAAGGCTTAAATCCCATCTTGGTTATGAAGTTCATGATCTTGGGGTAGTCAGTCCATGTCCATTTCATTCCTAACCCACCCAACAGTGTTGCTGTGCAAATAACATAGGTCCATGTTCTGTTGGGGGGGGAGTGTGAAAATCACTGTGGCATGAGAATTGGAATGTTTGACCAGGCCTGGAAAAATCATGGGACTGCTCCCCCAGCCATGAAACACACTGGGCAATCTTGGGTCCATCCTTTTAGCCCAGTCTACCTTATAGGCTTGTTGTGAGGGGAAAAGCCATGTCTGTCATCTTGCGCTCACTGGAAGAAAGGTGAAATACAAAAGTACAGTAACTAATAATCAATAAACTAATAAATGTGTTTCCCCAATGCAGGGACTGAAGATCCTTCTGGCCCCCTAAACCCCATCTTCAGCTTGTTATATGGAAGAGGAAGCAGCAGCAGCAGTCAGTTTTTTTTTAAAAGATAATTTCTGGAGGTTGTTGTGGGTTTTTCAGGTTCTTTGGCCGTGTTCTGAAGGTTGTTCTTCCTAACGTGCTACTCCTGTCCTCTGAAGATGCCAGCCGCAGAGACTGGCGAAACGTTAGGAAGGACAACCTTCAGAACACGGCCAAAGAACCCAAAAAACCCACAACAACCATTAGATCCTGGCCATGAAAGCCTTCGCGAATAATTTCTGGAGCTTTCATTTTCCTGGACTTCGAGTTCATTTGAGAAGTTACTATTCTTCTGGATTTTCTGAAGAAGAAAGAAACAGGGCAACAAGATTCTGAGATGACAGGCTGGGATTACATAACCCTCTTGCAAGATCTAGGGCGGTCTCTCCCAAATTTGTATCCTCCATGTTTGTTGGAGGATAGCAGAGTGGGGAAAGGAGGTTCTATTCCCTGGAAATCATACTTGGGAAAGGTGGATTGTCAGAGGCCTGTTCTTTGCCTGAGGTCTTGTATTAGGGCAAATGTTTCATTTGCTGCTATTTTCATGGAGGATGAAATGTTTATAAAGTCCATTTGTTAAAGCCCCTTAATTCCAGAGAAACTTAGTGGTAACCTATATAAAAATTATCCCATTTCAGCTTCACAACAACTCTGGGAGTAGGTTAGGCTTTGAGATGGTAGCTGGACCAAAATCTCTGGTGTGAAACCCAGTCAAAACTGGTAGGCCTTTCTGCTATGTCATACATGTTTTGGCTAGGCTGGTACCCACAGAAAAGCAGTTAATTTATGAATGCAACCAGCACCCTAATAATGAGTAGCAATTTCCTGCCAAGGCTTGCACCGTTTCTCTTATGCAATCATAAATTTCAAGCAGGATTCTGATCAGCAAGATGGAAAGCCGTCAGAGCCTTGGGTAACCATCTGCAGAAGCTGATTAGCTGGAACAGTTCCCCTTAAATGGAGCTGTTGTCCCAGATAAGAACTTTGAACAACCAAGGGCTAAAAGCAGGTTGGTCAGTTATCATCGCTGAGATGGTCCTCTCCCCACCCTCAAATACTGACAACAAACCTTGAAGAGCATATACAGTACTCATTTCTGTGGCCTCAAGGTCTTTCATGGCAAAGAGACATGGGAAACTTTGGTAGAGCCATCCTTGGAGGCCAAGGCTGAGAGCAAAGAGACTGCCTCTTGTACCTGGAGGAAGCCATGAAGGAGAGCCATTCATTCTACCCAAAGAAGGGACACTAATAGTAGACTCAATGTGCTCTTAGGGCTGAATCTCTGAGATTGAAGCCATAATACCTTCTCTGCACAGCATTAATTAATAGAATTTATATTGACAAGTTTTAGTGATGGTAAATAGCTTTGATAGCTATGAAAAGGACAACTGGATAAATCATCATCGTAATTCGGTCCTGTGCAGAGCACATTGGCAGCAATGCATAAATGCATACATAGATGAATGGAGGTCAATCCTATCTATGGTTACAGGTTCAGGTTACGTGGACTGAGCTGGGGGGGTACCTCACCTCCAAAAGGTGGGAAGGTAGTCCCTTCTTGTGTCCAGGCTGCATCTGCTATATGCTAAATGCTGGGCAACAACAGGGGAGGACCCTTGATCATACACAAGGACATGATTGGCTGCTGCAGGGGACAGGAGGCTTGTATACATAGGCTTTTGGTTTGATCCAGTAGGGCTTTTTCTATGTTCAGCAATGGTTGCTCTTTTTTGGACTTGTTTGCAATTGCAAGATGCTAGGATGGCATATACAGTAACAGGAAAAATATCTATTAAAATTATTATTAATTCCTACAGACACATGTGTAAACAAGAAACACGGGAAGATTTTCTGCAGTCAGGCTGCATTGAAGTGTTTTGTACTGCTTGCTAAGCATTATGTAGGATGCAAATAGTATGTGGTGCTGCTGCCAAAAATACTACTGCTTCAGCTTTGAGCTTTGAGCTCATGGTATTTGACTGACAGTTTAGAGAACAGCATAATTTACGTAGGGAATGTTACAGTTCTCCTTCTATGCTCCCTTTTTTTAAACACTTAAGAAAACCTGAAATACCATTGGTGTTTTGTTTTGTTTTAAAAGGTTGTGTAAGTAAAATTAAATGCAACTCAAGTAATTGGGCACATCATTTAAGTGTAGCCCCAGGCTTTGGAGCACTCTGGCCCTGTAAGTCTTCTGTTGTTTCACATTCTGACAGTTCTAAGAGATAATTTGAAGGAAATGTCTCTCAAGCTCTCTGCAAATGAATTCTGCCATCCTGAATTAGCCTCCTCTGGATGAACTCATATGTTGAGACAGTGCTAGCTTGTTTTGATATATATTGCATTGGTGAAGACCTTCCTCAGCTACAGATGGTCACGTGGTACTCTCCATTCATTACTACAAAATCTCTCCCCATTCTGAATTTTCCATCAGGCGAGTCAGGATGCGGTAATTAGTCGGGCTCCAGAACAGAAAGATGATCGAGCCATCAGTCTCCGAGATGCATCTGCTGTTTACGATCTTCTAAGTATCACGTTGGGCAGAAGAGGGCAGTATGTCATGCTTTCTGAGGTATTCAGTCCTAACTTTGCTTAGCTTTCCTTCTATAGATTCTTTCATACAGATACCAGCTCATAATAGGAATGAGCAGGCTAATAGGGTCTTCCATTAATTGAAGTGAGGTGCAAAATAGTAGCATAAATGGGGAGACATATATTTGTAATTTAGAAATGAGGTGACACTGAACAAATGCTCAGCCCAGGAATTCATGGTCATTCCCAGAACCAAATTGACAAGTCCTCCTTTTCACATAAAAAAAAAGAGAATGCACTCAGGATGTCTGGCCCACCCCACCAACAATCCTTTTCAACAATATTCTATTAATTTTGGCTGTGGCTCTTGTTAAAATCATTGACAATAAGCAACCATTGGGATGATGGAAACATTGTTAAATCATTGACAATAAGCAAATGTTGGCATGATGGAAACACAGTTTGATGAGGCCTTCTGTTGCTCCATATATCTTCAAAGCCTTGACCATATCTTGCTGATCTGCTGCATACCACACCAAAAACACTCTTGCTGATCTGCTGCATACCACGCCAAAATCTACAAGTAGATCTGTCAGGATAGAGTCCTAACACTTTACCCCATCCTTAGCTCTCTCTTACACACACAGCCTGTTGACATGTGAATTCTAAAGGATTAGAAAAGCCCCCGTGATACCATATTTTTCCATGTATAAGACACCCCATATATAAGAAACCCCCCACTTTTCTAATCCAAAATTAAGAAATCTAAGTGGGGCTTAGCAAGTGTAGGGGGAAAGGGATCGCTGCAGAATCGCTTTGATCCCTGATTTCCCCTCCATTTGTTTTTGTTGTCACTGCAGCTTACCTCTGTGTATAAGACGACCCTCAGTTTTTAGTCTAAAGATTTTAGACAAAAGTATAGTCTTATACATGGAAATATACAGTAACATTACTCTCCGTGTGGGAGAGTTTTATTGTTTGCATGAAACTCGATTTTAGAATTTTGAAAGGAAAGGTATTCTGGGTATCCTTGTATATATGTTTCATCTCTCTTGGCAGAAGAATAAGTTGTATATCACTCACAGTGAATTCAGACAAACTGCTTATGGGTGTTCCCAAGGCATTTGGTTGACCACTGTGTGAAGAAGGATGCCACAGGAAATAGATCTAATCCAGAGGACATGCTGTTAAGAGTCCCTAAACTACAGAGGAGAATACCTGGGTTATGACTTATACTAGCATGACTCTTGTGACATTGGGAAGACACCCAATCGGCCTTAATACCTCTCCAGTGTAATGTAAGAATATTTTATAAGTAAGGGGGGGAATGTGTGGTCTCTAAGCCTTTGAACTCCAATTTCTCATCATTCTCAAACAGAGATGTTAGGAGTTGCAGTCCTTCTGGAGGGTCATAGCTATCCCACTTCTTAGTCAGATATTAACAATATGATTAAGCAGCCAGCATCACCATGTCAATGAAAGCCCGGGTTATCCTTATGAAATACAATTCAAATTCTGCTTTAAATACGAACTGGCAGATCTAAGATATTGATAAATATATGTTCTCCAAAACAATGGGAGGTGATAAGATTTCCTCTCTGTCCACAAGTAGGCAAAGACTTTTCTATCAGGCAGGACTTTGGTGATTAAAACTTCTGGATTTTAGCTGATGTGCTGGTTCTCTCACTTTTTGACAGATAAACTAATGTTAGTATTTTAATTACGTGATTTCATTGTATTTTAATTTATGTTGAATTTAGATAATAAGAAGTTTTATTCTGTTATAAAATTCTTAACTTGTGCATTTTAACAATATTGAAAGTCATAGTTCTGGGAGAAAGCCAGTATATTACTAAAATATAATCTGGTTTTCAGAACACTTCTCTTGTGCATCTCAAATCTAAATAATCTAAGGTGGGGAAAGAGAAAGAGAGAGAGATTTTAAAAGCTTTTGAAGTTGAGGACTCTGCACTACTTAGACACTGTTCTATGATAAGCAGTTTACGTACAGATTATGGCAGACAAGTAGATTAATCAATTAGGTTATTTAAAGCAATCTTTCAGCATTGATTCTACAAAATCTGGGAAGTTTTAGTAATTTATTTATGTTTGCCCCCCTTCTAGTGTTTAGAGCGAGCAATGAAGCTTGCATTTGGTGAATTTCATCTTTGGTATCAGCTGGCCCTCTCCATGACAGCTTGTGGCAAGGTAAGTTCAGAACTAAAAAAACAAGCAAAAAACCTACCCCAAAAATGTAAATGAAAGTATTCCATGAGCTACTTGATTCTCCAAAGTAAAACGTCCTCTGAACTTCTAGTATTGTACAAGTGTTTATCATTAGCACAGCTTGGCAATGTTACTCTTTCTGGACAACAGCTCCCAATATCCACCTCAGCCAGCATGGCCAGAGGTTTTCCGAAGCCTCGTGTCCTTCAGTAAAGTAAAGGTAAAGGTTCCCCTTGACAATATTTGTCCAGTTGTGTTCGCCTCTAGGGGGCAGTGCTCATCCCCGTTTCCAAGCCATAGAGCCAGCGTTTGTCTGAAGACAATTTTTCCATGGTCACATGGCCAGTGTGACTTAGACACGGAATGCTGTTACCTTCCCACTGAGGTGGTCCCTATTTATCTACTCGCTGGGACAAGCGACGGGCGCTCACTTTGTCGCGTGGATTTGATCTTACAACTGCTGGTCTTCTGACCCTGCAGCACAGGCTTCTGTGGTTTAGCCCGCAGCGCCACCACGTCCCTTGTCCTTCTGTAACCAAATTTAATTGAAAAAAGTAGATTTATTGCTATTATTAAGTGGGATTGAGAAACCGTTGTCCATCTCTTGCAATACACTCAGAGATCTAACAAAAGATCACAGAAAGGAGCCGTAGCAGGCTGATCCTTCACTCCTCAGCCTTCTGCAGGCCAGGTGATCTCACAGAGCATCAGGACCCAGACTGAACTTTTCCTTCAGCTTCAGTCCTTGTTTGCTCCTCAAACAAAGGGGGAGAGGAGAGTGAATAATTGACAACTGGGCTTGAAAGTATCAAATGAACCACAGTTGGGACTCATCTGTTGTTTGCAAGTTAGTCTGGGAGTGCTCAGTTTGTTCCTCCTACTCCACTGAGGGATCAAATGTAACGGGGAGGTTCGCGGGCGGGCGGGGCAGGGCGGTTCCAACAGAGATGGTGTTAGGCATTGGGAGACCTGGAACCTCAGCCATTCTCAACCTTTCTTTGGCCGTGGCCGTAAACACAATATGAAAGAAATATAACTGAATCCGGATTATATAAGTTGCATAACACATTTTATATGGTGATGTGTGAAGAATTGTTTCCAGTCTGTAGCCCCCTTCAGTTGTGCCCGGAGTCCATATTGTTGAGATTGTCTAAAGGGGCCAGGTTAAGGGCCCTATCCTTTTCTCTCGCAAGAGTAGATCCTGATCTGTCTTCTGCCTACTCAGGACTTATATTTCGGAGCAGGAAAAAAATTTCTGACATCTGTGCAGTATTTCAGACCTCCTCCTAAAGCTTTCCTACAGTTTCCTTGTTATGGTCGCTTCAGTGCTGTCATCTCACTAATGGGATGGATGCGAAGACTGTGGATTTTTAAAAATCACCCTCTGCAGTTTGATGGCAGAAAACCAAAAGATGGAGTGGTGATATGATAAGGAAGCAAGATGATACCTGTCCAGACCACTAAAGGCACTTGAGGTTTTTAAAGCAGATGATCTTTTTTCACCTTTCTCTGGGCCTCAGCCAATTCCCAACCATATTAGTGAGAAACCCACGTCCTTGGGTTTTACTGTTAAACCTGCAGTACCAGGAAAGGGATTCATAAATGTTGGCATGATGGAAACACAGTTTGATGAGGCCTTCTGTTGCTCCATATATCTTTAAAGCTTTGAACATATCTTTTAAGGTCACTTGGGGAATCTGCTCTGGGGTCATCACATCCTGCCCTTCTCTTCATGGTACTACAGCCTGCTGTGTTTTACTTGTGCTTAATAAAACATGGTTTATTTTTTTTTAGTAAAACAACACTTAGAAAGACAGTACTATACTAAATTTCTCTCACTGGCCACCAATTAGTGAAATACAAATATTAATTATCCAACAACAGCAACAGAGCATGGACAGAGTTCCTACTCCAGTCCTCTGAAGATGCCTGCCACAGAGAGTGGTGAAACGTCAGGAAGAACAACCTTCAGAACACGGCCAAAGAGCCCAAAAAACCCACAACCAACAAATATAAGGGTTTAATTATACCCATGAGTAAACAGTATGCAAGGATGCTTTTGAAAAAAAAAAAAGATTCCATTTGCACAGGTAGTACCTTTTTAAGAAAAAGCTGAGTGCTGTATTGAGGAGTGGTACAAAGTGAGAGACAAAGAGGGATAAGGGGCAGGCAGGAAAAAATGCTATATTGATCCCACCCGTATTTCATTTGGGTGATGTTAACCGTTTATAGACGGCCTACAAAAGTACCAGTGAATGAGGCCCTGGAGCTGAAATAGGTTACTTGGTGCCATTCTAGAGATACACTAATTGGGCGGATGCAGTCATCTGTATCTTGAAACACACTGAGTGTTGTATACTGTTGAGATAAATTGCTAGTCTTCATGACTGTTAGGGACTAAATCCAAATACTGTAGTTCCAAGTACTGTAGAGTAAATCTCTTGAAAATCTATGGAACTCTTGTGATTAACAGGTCCCATTTATTCCAATAGGACTGCTATAGTTGGGACAAACACTGGCTTTGCCTTGTATTTATGCCATGTGAATTGGATCAGAGCTGAGAAGTGTTACTTTATTGGACTACAGCCTCCAGAGTCCTCTAGCTAGCCGTGTTAGTGAATTCTGGGAGATGTAGTCCCAAGAATAGTGTTGGCAAATCCTGTCTTGAAAACAAAATGATCACATACATACAGAGTTCATAAGGTAGTCTCCCATCCAGGCACAGAGAAGCCCCTACTTTGCTTAGTAATCCAAAGGTTGTGGTACCTTGTGTTATAAGATATAAGATATTTAGCTCTAATTAAAGGCCATCAAATTGGATGGAAGGAACACAACAGTTAGAGAGGGCCTACCTTACTCCATTCTGCCCATCACCTTCCATCACAGTGCCCAAACAGGGAGAGCAAAAAGGGAGAAGTTTTATAAAAATCTTGAGACCAAGACATCTTGTTTTGTCCCAATATCTTGCTGGGATCCCACTGAGTTAAGCCCAGCTTTTGAAGTAATGCAGGATTACATTGCTTGGGAAAGAGTTGTCGTTGTGAAGAAAACCTACCCTCCAGTTGCACATTTATAGTATTTGCACAGGACTTTCAGCTCAGTAGAAGCTTGGCCCATTACCATGAATAAAAAATGGAGACAAAATGGTCTGTTACACTTGATGGTGTGCACATAAACTTTATTTCTCTGTGTCTCAGTGGGATGCCTAGTTCTTGCAGAGTCACAGGAAACTTTCTGGAGTTAATCAGAAGTGGCATAAACAAGTAAAACATAGTATCTTCTGGGTAGAAAGGTACTGGACCTCTTGTAGCATAGAGAATGAAAGAGCTTGCACACTGTGGTATAGTGGAGAGAAGGCTTGCAGGGTTGAAACCATAGGATTTTTAAGTAACAGAGACTATGACATCATCTGCCAACCGCTGAACTTCCCTTTTCCCTCGGCACTGATCTGAAATACTCTCAGTAGTAGGAAAATAAGTGATTTCCCCATTACTGTGTGATCAGGAGCTGGATATTGTTGTAAGTATCCCTGCTGTAATACAAACTATTTGAGGGATGTTTGATTCTAAACTGTCAATTATGAGCCACTAATTTAACAAAAGATCTGCTTCTTATTTATTGATATAGACTGATCCAACTGCTAGTGGTTTTGGATTTACCTTATGGAAAGGAGGCTTGCTATGGGAACTGTCATCAGACACACCTGGTTTTATGAATTTACCACTGTAATACAACTTGTAGAGGATTAGTCCTTGGCAGTGAAGGAGTAGCAAGAAACCATAAGATTTAGCAGCCAGCTAGCAACATTAAGGAGGAACCAACCCAATGGTGGCCAGTGGCTGTCTCCTTCCAGTGTAAATAGCCACTTTCTAGGGAAGAGATTAGCCCAGGGCAACAGCCAAAGGAGGAAAGAGTGTGGCCCTCTCCTTATCTCTTGAGATCCTGGTAAATTCTAGCCTCCAAGAGCTGTAGAAGAAGGCATAGTAGGTGGTAGGACCAGTGCATTATCACTTATGTATAATTATGATACATTCATAGTGGTTGTGTATTATTTGCAATAGCAAAAGTGGTAAATCTTAGGAAGCTGCTTTCTCCTGAGGCAGATTATTAGGCCATCTATCCCAGTACTGTCAACTCTAACTGACAGCAGTTCTCTGGGTATTCTGGCAGGCTTTTTTCCAAGCCCTACTTGGAGATCACGGGTATTTCCTGGTAGCCATCCATCCAAATGCTGAACAAATCCAATCTTGCTTAGCTTCTGAGATCAGATGAAACTGGGTTCATTCATTGTGGTGGGGCTGTGCGGACACCTTGCATGAGGCTTATCTCTGATGCACCAGATGGCTGAGTGATTCTAGGAGCTATTGGCCAAGGAAATTATAACTTTTGAATATTTATTGCTGGGGGACACAAGAAAATGTTGTCATGACCTACTTGCAGCCTTCCCAGGGGCTTCTGGTGGGCCACTGGGAGAAACAATATTCTGGCTTTTGTTCTCATCCAGCAAAGTTATTCTGGATTAATTGTCAGTGAGCAGGATCTGGTCTCTTATAAAATGCTCCTTATATGATATAACCACTGATGTGATTCCCTTTAGTTCTTTTCAGGTAAAGAAGACAGCAGTTCTGCTTCTTTTAACAGACAGTTGAAATATTTTCCAGGCAAGACAGGGAGTGAAGGAGGAGGTTTCACAAATAGCTGCTCTGCTTTTGCTCTCGCCAACACCTTGGTTACTCTGAGCCTTTGCGTGGGCGAGAGAATCAAACAACTCCCAGCTGATGCTTGCCGTGCGGCTGCAATTTTGGCAGAGAACATTGGGCAGAGAAAGTACAGCGAGAGGCTTCTCTGCAATCCGTTGCCATCATTCGGTTTTATTTTCCGCTCCTAGCCTTAAAATAAAAGTCAGCATTGCGCAAAGTTTCAAGAGCTGCATTGCAATTTAATAAGGCATAAACCAAGTGATTTGGATTTTTAAGAGTCTG